ATATATATATTGACACAATAAGAGTTGATTTATTTCATTTCTTTTAACGATTAATGCTAAAACAGCAATTGAGTACTGAAACGTAAAAATCCATTCTTTGCACGAATATTATATCGTATGAAGGAGGATAACATTCAAATGTTTTTTCCTATTATAAAAAGAGCAGATTCGAGCTAAAATATAAATCCAACAACTATTCCATATAATTTTCTTTTTTCTAAATCGCTTAAATCCTTAATAAGAGCAAGGGGGGGGGTGGGCGGGGTGAAAAAGATCATAAAATGAAAAATAGTTGTGAACAAATATGTTAATTAATTTTTTTTAGAATTCGCATGAAAGCAAAGCGCGCCTTATGAAAATTGTTTACGGCAGTAAATCCTGTACACGCATTTATTCATATAAAACATTTAATGATAATATATAAATATATATTTGTGGAATATGAAATGAATAAGTTTTTTTTTTTTCATGAGATTTGGACATATTCGTGTTGACCTGACTAGAATAAGAGAAATAAGGTTAACTTAATTAAAGTTAAAGTAAATTAATAAATATTTGAAAAAGAGCGCGTGCTAGTTGAAGTTAGAAATCTCGACCAAACTCAATTCTAGTTTAGTCATTTTTCTTTCTCATTTCTATTAACTATTTTTCTCAACAATTATTTTCATATTTATGTTTCCAAAAAAACAAATTCTACTCGTATGTGATTATCAATAGTTTATCAATAAAAAAAACAAAACAGATTTCAGCTTTAACTAAAATAAAACATAGTCTTATTCGATTCTCCATAGATAAGAACAAAAATCAAGGTTTATATAATAATGTTGATTACCCTTGGGGAATTGACGAAAAAGTCTAATAAATCTCTAATCTTATAGATTATTTTATAAAAAAAATTAAGTTAATCAGTTAGTACTCGTTGGTATAATATTGAATATTGTCTTTATATTGAGATAACGATAATAATTATTCTTCAATTATATATGATTTAATATAATTTATATTGACGATAATCTGTATTATTAATAATATATTCAATAATTATCGTTAATAGAGTTAATATATAAATAAGGTAATTATTTAATGTAAATTAAATTCGAATTGAAATTCGATAATATATTGTTTATTATCCTAGAAAATTCTTGTTTGAGTTAATATTTAACTGAGAGGGAAAATAATTTATTTAAATAATCTTGTTGCCTTTAAACAATGACTAAAGTTAAAATAGTAATAGATAGATTTAAAATAGTTAACCTTCAATATTGACTAAATAAAACATATCGAGATTTAATAGGATCTGTTATTTGTTTCAAGTAATCGGTTTAGATTTCGATAAAGAATAGATTATTTATTATCTTATTAAAGGATAGATGAATAGATTTATCATATAAACAAAATCAATTTGATTATTGTTATAAGATATATATTTAAAAAGAAATTCTTTTTAAAAAATGTTTAGAATAAGGAATAAATAATTTGAATTTATTCTTATTTAATAAATAGTTCGAATTCTAGTAGAATGTTCTGATGATGATTTTCTTAAATAAATGATATAAGAATGGGTATATTTATAGTTGAATGTTTTTTATTCTTAGTCGTTAATATATAGGGTGTCCGGAAAGTCCTTAGAGTTACAAAAATTTGGATATCTCCATTATGGTTGGACTAAACGAGCTCATTTTTCTAACAAAGATTGAGGCATGTTCATACTCCAAATTCATATGGACAAGGGTATTGAGAATCTTTGTTAAGTATCACTATTGACCTCAACAAGAAAATTTTACTGTTTCACAGTTAGGAAAACAAACATTACACAGGATAGGGCAAAATACACTTTATTGAAAAGACAATTGACTCTCTTCATTATGGCTTGAGCGAACCAACTGATATTTTTACCCAGGATAGAGGCATATCCACACTCCAAATTCATACTGACAAAGTTAGTGAGAACCTTTGTTAAGTATATGGTTTTTCTTCCTCTCTGTAAAACAGTAAAATTTTCTTGTTGAGGTCAATAGTGATACTTAACAAAGATTCTCAATACTCTTGTCCATATGGATTTGGAGTGTGAACGTGCCTCAATCTTTGTTAAAAAAATGAGCTCGTTTGGTTGAGCCGTAAAGGAGATATAAAAATTTTCCTAACTCTAAGGACTTTCCGGACATCCTATATATTCGTTTTTAATAAATCAAAATATAATCTGTCAAAGATTTTCTTCTATAGTTACCTGTTGAATGTTATCTTTATATAAAATAATATTAAAATATCCTCATTAGTCTAATATATATTAACGATCGATCATTTGAATGGTCTTTAGAAATCTCTTGAATAAAAATATTCTTCTATAACGAATATATATTTAATAGTTCGACGGTAGAAAAATAACTATAAATCAACGAATATTTTTCACTATTTATTAAATATTTCCATTTGTTTATGATGGTTTTGTTTCCTTTTTCTAGATGAATTCAAAGAAAAAATTTCAATTTATTTCTTTTTGCAACTCTTTTCTTCATAAAGATTTATGAAAAGTTGAGATAGAATTAACATATTTGGACATTTTTTTTTCAAATTATTCTATGAGAAGAAGAAAAAATAATTGTTGAAAAAAAATTCTTGTTTATTTCTATATCTATTATTTTCTTTCGATAATCATCGTTCGAATATCTATTAATCAGTTTAAAGAATATCATCTAGAAATATTGAATTTTTTTTTTTAATATTCCTACGACGATCGAATTCTTATATGGTTATATTAATAAATGTTTATCGTTAACAATTATCCTAATGATAACCATTATTTAATATGGCTAAACGGTAAATATCTTAATAATTGTTTTCCTCATCTCTGAACATTTGCCACTTTCAATCTCTGACTATTGTTTTTCTTCGAATAATTCTATAATTCTATATATTTTATCTCTTGTCGCTAAATTCAAAATATTTATCCGAAAAAAAAAATTTTTTTGTGTGTAAATCAATCAGTTGAATGTGTTGCATAGTATATTTACTTTTTTTTTCGAACCTTCCAATGGTGCATTCTTCAGTCGGCTTAAAAAAAAAACATTCAATATCGTCATTATGACCGTAGGTGTTGAATCTCTATAGGGAAGAAATAATGACTCGCTGAGCAGCGGCAGATCTTGGATTTTCTGGATAGGGCCGATTTTGATCGGAAAGCGAGTTTTGAAGTTTAACAGTAGTAGTATGAACTCTGTTTCTAAGAGTTTTCTGCTGAGAAAAATGGAAATTTTTTTTTCGAATTGAGGCGATCGCCTCAAGCGCCGTCCCCGTAAATTCGCCACTGCTCTTGATCAGTGAGTTCGTTTTGTTTGAGGAATTTGATAGTCAATAAATAAAATAGTTTGATTTAAGCAAAACTCTCCTACTGTTATAATCGTTGTTATCTGACGAGTTTTAAAAAACTATTTGAGAATCCCGAATGTATTTTTGTCATAATCGAAATGTAAATTGAAGGATCAACTCTAACGTTTCAAAAAAAAAAAAGTAAAATAAAGTTCTATATATATATGGAAATGATCATTAGAGAATAGTTCTGGAAAAAGAAAAAAATCGTTCTAATCTACCAACGAGAAAATAAATGGCCATCGTTTTTTTGATATAACTCTTGATAGGATAAAGATGGAGAGGTGCACTTTTCACCGTTGGAAAGAGGAGATAAAGATGGATCGAATAAGATCTCCGAAACATTTTAATCTGCTTTTTCTAGGATTTTCAATAGAGTTTTTTGTAAAATAAGGTTGGCGATTGATGAGTAGCGGGAATTTAAAATAATCTGATCTATATTGAAAGGGCGAATTGAAGTTCTATAAAAGTGTGGAAGGGTTAGATTGATAGGTTCGATCGTTGAAGAGATATAGGTATTCTACTGGAAACTATAAGCCGATTTTTCTATCAGTTCTTGTGAAAAAAGCACTTTTTTCTTTTTTCTTTTTGATAAAAACTATTTTTTTTCGTTACCTTTTTTAGATAATTGGTAATAATTATTACTGATATTCAACGAGCAAAATTAGTGAAAAATATAATAAATAAAAAGAATCAAAACATTTCTTCTTAATTAAATAACTGTAGTTGTATTCAACGAGCAAGATTGTAAAAAAGATATTTGAAAGCATTTTAGTGCTAAAACTTAATCTTTTTCTTCCCACAGCAATTTAGCAGTTGGTCTGATTATATTTTTTTATTTTCTAAGTAATGTATAACAATTCGTTGTGTATTTACATTCGAATCGAATTCTAATTAGGCAACTCATGCAATACACTCATCCTTCTCACGTTGTTGTTGTTGTTTCAGTCTATGCATATAGGCATAACGTATAGGATATCCGAAAGAAGAATTTCATATGATCACTAAAAAGTTTTTTAACTGATATTGATAACTAAGAAGAGAAATGATAACTAAAACATTATTCAATTTGTTATATATACGAAATTCTATGAAAAAAATATTACAAAAGCATTTCATGTTCATATCTTTTCTTTTACCAGAAAATTCTTAAATATTTGTTTTTGCATATCTACTGTTTGATTAAAAGTCTCTTTCAAAGCCAAATGATAATCTCTTCATTGGAATCAATAATGATTTTAGACGATGAATAGCGAAGATTTCTCGAATGAACACATTCTGTAAGAAGTGTCATAAGTATGTCACGAGATGTTGAAGGTACACTTCGATAAGTACCACAGCATCGATTCACATGTAAGATGATGAATTTTGATGACGAAGATACGAGACTATCGAACCATAAGAGGATTCGATTCGCGAGTTTTTTCGGTGGTGTGAGTGAAAAACGACGACCACCAAATGAAAGATATTGTAATTGAGGAAAAGCTTCGTTTGTTGGTAATCGTTTAGTCAAAAATGGAGATGGAATCTTTTCGTCTATGTCCAAAAGAATATTTAGCTGTCGAACGAATGACCAAGGTGAAGAAGAATGTTTAAGAAGAAGTCGAATGTCAGACCAGTATAGCGTCAAAGACTCAAGTGCAGTAGCACATTGACGAAATTGTTCAAGAAGAATATAACGATAGAGATTCGGTGTGACAGATTGATTATACAATTTCCTTGATTGCATAGGATTCCGTTGAAAATTAACTCGAAGAGAACGTAAAAACGGAAGTATCATATGCCAAGAATCTGGATTTAATTTCATTTCCTAAACGAAATATTTCGATATAAAATCTGGATAAATTCATATTGAATATTTACTGTCATATTAAAAAACAGATGAAGTGATTTAACATGTTCGAAATGAAGAAGAGTTTTGGCAATGGATAAAAGATCATGATCAATGATCCATTCAATATGTGTGATATTATTATTATTAATTGTCGATTGTTGTGCAACACTATTATTATACACTCGTCGTTGACTATTTAATAAATATGGAATTGTATAAAGAAATATCACTTCATTTATTTCGTACTCAACAGTATGATGATCTAAGTTAAACCAATAAAGATCAATATCATCAAGTCTTGTCTGAACAGGTAAATAGAGTATAAAATAAAGACGACGCAAATGAATCATAATAGTTTTAATGCAGTCTTTAAATGTAATAAGTTCGTTCTTATCTATATATTAAAACAAATAGCAATTTTATCAATCATAGTTCTTCTTGACAATCCAGCTATTCCATCAACAGTAAAACATACCTTCAACATTACAATTCACCAAAATCAATGATTCAATTTGATTCGTAGCCCTCAAATGTTTCATTAGTATGATGACATTTCTAATGGGCACTTGTCGTAACTGTAATGAACGTAAATATGGTAAACTAGTTTGACTGAGATTGAGATCTTTCAAACATAATATGGGACAAGACGGATTTTCATATCGATTGTACAATTGATGCATATTTTTTACTGTCTTTTCCAATGTAACATGAAGATGTTTTATACATGGTAAAGTATCGTATTGTAGTAACAATACCAAATCAGATATATGCTGTAATGAGAGTCGTAAATTAACTGTGTTTGGAAATGAAAGAAATTGATCACGACAAGTGGCATCCTCCTTTAAAGAACTCGACCATGAGTAATTCATATCATCTAGAATCAAATCAAGATCAACTGTAAATGGCACGTATATTCATGTGAACATTTCATTTTGCACTTCATATTTTATACTCTTAATACTCAGACAAACCAAAACATAGACTTTGGTCGAAATTCGTGAAAAAAAGTCGCACAACTATTCATGCATATCATATACTTGATAGATGGATTTACTTCTTGATTAAATTTCGTTCGAAAAACTTTCTATTTAATTTTCTTTCTGTTTTCAAACGGTCATTCTTATAATGTTTCTATTAAATACTTTGTTGATCTAAGAATCTCAAGTTAAATTCAATTTACTTACAAATATTTGATAATAATGTAAATATTCGCGATTTTCAAAGCTTTATCTTAAATCAAGTCTTTATAACTTAGAATATCGATTCTACTTAAGACGATGTGATATAATATTATCTATTTGAAAATGGATGAAATGCAAATATAGTAAACACTTAGATTTTATATCCATATTCATCACAAAAATTACCTTTAATAACAATAAATTCCATTGTATGTACAGATATGCATTGTTCGATGAAGTATTTCAATATCACACTATATCTGTGGAGTCCGTTAAAATAAAATACAATATGACGTATGGTCAATGTATGTCGACGAATAAGTAGAATAATATTTGTTCGAACATATCTATTGATCAGATCTATATAGATTGTACATTTTCGAATATGTGGAAGAAAAGATTTTTCATTTTCAAGCCATCGATTAATAATTTCATTCGATACAATAGATTCATTGAGCAAAAGAGAAGTTATACGACAAGCTTTAATTGGATGTTCATGTTCGAAATAATGTAAACATTGATCGTATGTTGTAAATGACATCGACGAGAGTGACAAAGCAACTCGATTTTGTGCTATTTCAGCTAATATTTGAATGCGACTATTGAGTTTCCAATGAATCCAACTTGATTCCAGTTCCGACCATGTGAAATAGATGAAAAGTTCGAACCACAGTTCATTTGGAAGATGCTCTAATCTGGTCACAGTCATAGCAATGTTCACTGTTAATGTTCATGTGACACATCAATGAAAGACTATATATATATATATTAGAGAGAGAAAGCAAACAAACAATGCTCGTCGGTCCATGACACGAACCAATGTTTTTTCTTCTATTTTTCTCAATAGTCCAATGAGAACATTGTATAATAACTTATATAAACTTTGTGAAGTATTTGATAAATACAAATTGCTGAATCATCATAAAATAAACTAGATAAGCAAAAACAAATATGTTCTTTTACTGACAGAAATATGACAAATTTTTATTGATATATTTCATATTATAATGGTCAGGATGATGATTCGTATATTATTTTAATAAAGTAAACAATCGTGCAGAAATTCTATTAACTTGAAGGAATCGTGATGATGTCGATAAATGATTATTTAGCCAATAGTTTAATATAGAAATATCAGCAAATGATAAGTGCATAAAAAAAGAAAGAAATATTGATTGACGCATATTAGGACAAAAATGTATTTCTATTTATATATCGTTAATACAAAAATCTGATCGAAGTATGCATCATTGATTTCTACTGTAAATCAATGATAAAAGCGTAGGCTTCTCACATCATTTTTTAGTTAGTTTTTTTCGTCTATCGTTTATATTTATATATCCACGCATTAGGTAAGGTATTTATCATTTAAAAGATTTATTATCGAATCTCGTTATTTATAAGTTGAAATGTCATGGAGGACAATGATAATCAAAGAAAATCAATGATGAAATATTTTAATATTCCAATTGAATTACCAACAATAAGATTCAAAAATGTAGATAGACAGAAATTAATTAATGAAGATGTCGAAAGTTTGTTTGATGATACAATAGATGTCAATAAAAATCAAATGATAGAAACAATAGAAGATTCTGGTAATACATTGAATAACTCTATAACAAAAAATCATCGAGTCGTAGATGTACTTATTGAAAATTTAAATTTACCAAGCGTATCTATCACCGATAATATAAAGATAAACGTCAGTCCTATAGTTGGATATACAAATGAACCTTTATTACCACTTCATAAAGCATGTGCTCCTTTGAAAAAAATTCTTCATGATTTATCATTCTATATTGAAATGGCACTTCATGAAACTTCCGAAATGTCATCAAGTGGATTAACAATTGATGAAAGTGCTGCAATTCGTCTTTATACAATCGAATAGGCTAAACTTCATCAAAGTTTTTATTCGATGCTCAATCACACACTCAAACATGAAAATCAACAGCAATTTCGTCCATATTTCAAGTATATGAAATTATTCTTAACTGCATTAACAAAAATTCCATGTCTACCGCCATCAACTGTCTGGCGTGGTATCACGAAAAATATTAGTGAAGAATTTCAGCCGGGTACTGTTATGACTTTATGGCCATTTTCATCATGTACTGTCACATTACTTGTTCTTGAAAATAACATCTATTTAGGTACTACTGGTAATCGAACATTATTATCTATTGAAGTAATTAATGGTCGAAATATACGCGATCATTCACATTTTCAGACTGAAGATGAAACTCTACTTCTTCCTGGTACTCGGATGATCGTTCAATCACAATTCAGTCCAGCATCTGGACTTCACGTCATTCATTTGAAACAAATTATACCCAAAGAAGTGTTACTAGAATCACCATTTGAAGGTATTTCAATTATTATTAGTCAATCATTTGAAATATATATGCATAATTTTAGGTGTACAACTTTTTCCAAAAATCAAGTAAGTCTAAACGAATTTCATTGAAACTGTATTTTTAATCGGATATTTTCTTACATCTTCAAGAGATTCATGGTATCGAAAGAAAAGATTTGCCATCTCATTCGGTACATTAGTTACATTACTCATTGGATCAATAGTTAAAGGCTCGGCTTTGGGATCAAAATTTGGTAACAAAGACACGAACTCAACAGGTTCGATTTTCTTATACTTTTATATAGAATAGTACCACAGTCAGAATTTTTTTGTGACAAATTATGTAGAGTAGTATGATTTTAATTATCTATTGTAGAACGACGGTGCAGTACTCCTTACATTCGAGTATCAGGTACTTATAGAACTGGTAATACACCCGTTTCAGCTGTACTGGACGATTTCAATGATGATAGTAACATCGATAACGTAGTGACAACTGAACAAGATAATGAAATTGCTCTGTTATTTGGTAATAGTGAAGGCATTTTTCATGGACAATACAGTATTCCGCCACATCCACGACCAGCCGCAGTCAAGTTAAGAGATTGAAATCAAGATAAAAAACTAGATTTGATTGTAGTCAATCAAGGTAATAACACGATTAGTGTGATGCTCGATGATGGAAATGGAATATTTCAGCCACATATTTCGTATCCAGTTGGAAATCAACCATGCGCCGTAGTAATCGATGATTTTAACAATGATAAAAAATTAGATTTGATAGTGACCAGTATAAAAGATAACACTATTAACATTTTATTACGTAATGCTTATGGACGCTTTTCAGCTCAACAATCCTATTCTGCTGGCAACATCGTGAGCAACGGCTCATCTGGACTCGAAAGCATCAACACTTCAATTGGGACAACGTGATCTTTACTGATGAGAAGACGTTCAAACTTGGCAACAACAGAAGAAGAGTTTGGAGACTTCCAGGTGTTACCAAACTGTTTGTACAGTTAAATATCCTCTTAAGTTGCACGTCTGGGGATGTTTTTCAAAACAGGATTTCAGACAATTAATTACTTTCAGGCATAATTTGACAGGGAATTTTATGTACAGTATATACGAGAACGGTCTTCTGTCTACTGTTTATCGTCAATTTTCTGAAGGTTCGGCTACCTGGATCTTACAAGAAGACAATGATCCAAAACATAGATCTTGGCAGGCAATTGACTGGAAGATGGAGAATCAAAGTCAAGTTCTGTCTTGGCCATCTTCATCACCTGATCAAAATCCTGTTGAGAAGGTTTGGTCGATGATGAAGAATACAATAAGTCAAAAAAACATTCAAACAATTCAAGAGTTAGAACAAAAAGTAAGAAAGGCATGAAAGGCTCTGCAAATTGACTTGGCTATCAAATTGATCGATAGTATGAAAAGACGAATACAGTGCTTAATTGAAGCAAACGGTGACTATACATCATATTAAACAAAACATTTTGTTATACTTTTGTTTGATAATAATAATAATAAAAAGAAAGCGAATAATAAAAGTTTGAAAAAAATGGTAGGGGGAAGGGGAAAGACTTTTGCCCACGGGTGTATTTAAGAAAATCCAAAGAAAGATTTGTTAAAATACCCTGATGAACATATTTTGCAGATTTCTTTTCTCTCTATTTGTCGTTTTTTTCTACATTTTGATGTTTTCATCTTTAATAAAAAATAAATAGAAATTTAGTTTTTTTTATTT